TGTCGCCGGAGCACGACGAAGCCGCCGTGCAGGAATTTTAAAATTGGTCGAGTGGGCCCTGGGTCTGATTTTTAGATTTATTTGGGACACTTGTAGGTACCGTAAGCGCGTTTCAGTTCTCGAAAGAAAATTCAGGGAACCTAGGGACCGCCCATAGGCGCAGTAACCATCTAGTTTTCGGCGTCGAATCAAGTAAGGACCCCTCACCCTATTTCCTATCATATATGTGAAGTTCGAATAAATAATAATACGGTCTTTTATACAAGTTAGATAAATATGCATGATTAATTACAGATTATTAATAGAGCCTAAAATCGGACATTGTTTTCTGTTGATTTCTGTTGATTTATTTTACAGTTTAAAGGCATGATGGTATTTGGTTTTGGAGTTTTAAATGCATGTATTATTGTATTACTTGACCACTATGCGATTTTGGGATTTAAAATATGATTGTATTACCGGGTACATGTTCATTGTTTATGTGATTGTGTTTAATTTGGTAACGAAGATTAAGGATAAACAAGAAATGGATGTGATCTAATAAACAGATAAGGTGACAGCCTCACTAGATATCCTGGGAGATAGTGCGCGGACCGAATTCATAGAGAATCCTACCGTGAACGTTGTCTCATACCGGACGGGGTATGGAGACTTGGTCATTTGGCGCTCATACCGGACGGGGTATGGGGACAGCCCGTTTCACCCTCATACCGGACGGAGTATTGAGATTTAGTGTCTTGACGCTCATACCGGACGGGGTATGGGGACGACCCTAAAATTTAGATTGTTAATGGAAATGGTTCACGTGTAGCGGGAACACCCCTATGGATCCCCATGGATACTAGTAGGCTGATAAAAATGGGCAATTATTATTTGATGATTTGAATATGACAGAATAATATGTGCTATGTTGTAGATTATATATGAAATCATGATATTTATAATGTTATTGTTTTCATAAATCTCACTGCGGTAAGTTGACGATAAATGGTTTTATTATTAATAAATGAATTTGTTTAAAATTTGTGCTCCATTGGTTGTTTTTGGTTTTTCAACCAACCTTTACTTCTGTGACGGCGATATATTGTGATGTCCTTACTGGGTTAGTGTAACTCACCCCTTTATTTAACAATTTCAGATTAGGAGGATCCAGTTCCCGAGCCCGATCCGCAAGAAGACTACGAGTAGACCCTATATACTTTATAATTTCCTTTATTTTTTTCTATTTTTCGTATTTGTTTCAGAAAATTTATTCCGTAATGTTTGTTAGTACTTTTAAGTTATCGTGTAAGGGATGTTAACCTTAACCTTTATTTTGCTTTCGCACTCAAATTATTATATGCATTTTTTTTAAATTTCCGGAGTCGTTACAAAGAGTTCAGAAATTCTTAAATATATAGGATATAAAGGCACATTAATCATAAAAAAAAAGAAGATATGATTGGGTATCAAGGGAACAAAAAAATTTCAGACAAAATACCAAATTAAAATAGATCTCTTTTTTTTTAATTAAATTTTGGAGGAAATGCATATTTTACACAAATCTACTATTCCTTTGAATATCTTGATATTTTTTTCTGTATGGTAAAAACATAAAAAGAACATTGATATTTATGGAAAAGATAATTTCATCAATTCAAAAATTGTGTGGGGAAAAATTAATCATAGTAATTGCCAAATTTTAGGATTTATGTAATAATTCGTGGTATCTTTTATCGTATATACTCAACTCCTGTAAATGACCACCTCACATATTCACCACATGTACATATTTACCCATATATATATATATATATATTTTTACCATATTTACCCAACTTCTTCGTTGACATGGAGATGCACAAAAAGCCTCCAAAAGGTAGCAATCAAATGATTGAATTTGGGTGGGAGACTTGATCGGTGATCCTCCTTCGTTTCCCTTCAACTCCTACCTAACACACAGTTTTTGTTGATTTAAAACTTCAAATTTTCTAACTTTTTATATTTATTAATTATTTTTGATAAATCACATCCCTTTTAGATCATACTCCGTGTATGCTGTTTTTAGATATTCTTTTTATTGTTTTACGATCAATATCTATATATTACTTTTATAAAAAAAAAAAAAAATTAAGTAAATTTAATGAAATTCTAAATTCGACAGTATCTTCAATTTATTTTCTTTTAATAAAAATAATATTTTCTCAATTTAAAACAAGTGTAAATTTGCAAATAAAATAAAAAAGTTGGATTTTTTTTTTTTTTTTTTTGGAATCAAATACAAGATTCCTTTCCAAAGTAAGTCCTGCATTTTAGAACTTCAACCCCACCATTGATTCACAAGTTCTTGTCATAAAGTATTAATTACCAGAATTGGATCAGCCGAAAACGATATTAATTGGATCACCACCAAATCCATATAAATACACATCAAGCACCATACTTTTCAACACAGAAAACTCACCAAATCAAACAAGTACAACATAGATTCGTCTTAAATGTTTTATGTGACATTCCCAAAATTAAGCTTCCTCTTCCAAATCTGTTTTTAAGTTCTTCTATATTAAAAATTTTTAATTACAGAAAAGTGTATGGATTGCTGAACGGTTTACCTTTTCTGAGATTTCATTTCCCATATGCTTTTTTGGATCAAGTCCGCGAATGTAAACTGGTGTAAAAAGAAATCAGCCAGTTGGAAAGAACAATTGCTTCCTGATCATAATCATAAATAACAGAGAGAACACACATGGAAATGGAACAACCATATGAACAAAAATCTAGAATGTGGTAACAGAGCAAACATGATATGGTAATGCTTACAGTGCAGAAGCATTGAGGGCCAAGGGCCTGGTTGTTTACTGAGAATAAAACCTGCCTTGCTAAACAAGATCAACCTCCATAGCTGGTGAAAGTTTTTTACTTGAAAGAATTGATGGCAGCCCAGATTGACCAGCACCCTCATATCACTCAAAAACTTCATAAAAAATTTAAAGAATGTCTCCCTAGTTCCTAATTTGACAAAACTCAACTTCACTGGGATCTTCTTCTAGTGTGCTGGGATACGGAGTATCCCTCGAAGAAATCCAACACAGCAGTCTCTAAATCTTCGACTGAATACTTGATGTAGTTCTCTGGGTGTTTTCCACTCTCGATATGGCTCCTGAATCTCCCAAGAAACGATCTATAAGCTGGGATCAACTTCTCCGATATAGATATCCTAAGCTCCTCTCTAAGCTGAGAATCTGGAACAAACCATGTGGCTTGAGTCCTATGAACCTCCTCAAACATGGCATTGAAGGCCTTAAACCTCTCTCTCAAAGCACTTTTCGACACACCCGAAGAGAAACTCCCACTCACATGCAACCCTTCATCTCTTAAACAATACAGCACTCTCACCCATGTAGCTCTCTGATAATTAGTGGCTGCCTGTCTGAATTTCCCAGTCAACTTCCTCAAGTAATCATCCCCAATCATTTCTCTCAACTCAGGCGACCCTTTCACCTTCTGAACAATATAATGAACGTTGTTCATGATAAACAGATGGACTAAAGATGCATCTTTGTAATGTTTAGACTTGCCATCCAAGTTGAATTGCAGAATCACAATTATCCAAATCAAATGCAAAGCTAATGGTGTTTTACCCTCTAGCTCACCAAAGTCCATATCAGGCGTGGTTGGATCACCAGAATATCTTGTCCCAGTTGATGGTTTTGACATTATAAGCTCAATTAAAGTCTGCTTATAATCAGAGATCAAACTGATATAATTCATCACGTACCTTGTTAATGGGTGAATAGTCCCTCCTGGTACAGGAACTCTAGACGGCTCACGAAGAACAGCATTCTCAAATTCCGATAATATCCCTCTTGCAGCCTCTGCAAGTCTTGAAAGAATCTCGGCCGCCTGAACCCGAATTGAATCCGAAGATTTTGAGTCGAAAACATTTTCAATATCAGGCAATAAGTCCATTAACGCGTCGTGTAAATCCAAAATCTTGAACAACTTCTCCGGCGATCTTCTACTGATGCTTATGGCTTCTGCGAAATTGAACAACTGAATGGCGGGACCTTTAACAGTCTCCATAAAACAAGCGTCGTCTATAGCTGTACCCAGCCCATCAAAGATTTGCTCACAGAGCTTCTTCTCGCTGGCGAAGAGGATCCTGACGCAGACTTTCGCAGCCCGAATCCACCGCCTGATCTTACTCTCCAGCGCCTCCCACTCCAACCTCTGGATATCACCGATGCTGAGCTTCTCGATTCCCAGCTTTCTAAACCCGGCGTCCACGGAGGATTTCCGTACACTGCCGTAAACCTGGATGCACTCCCGTAGGTAGCCGGAGGAGACCATTCTTTGGGCGATCGATCTCAGGTCTAGAATCGCTTCATCGGGGATAAGATCGATCTCCCGGATACTGCTTGTGGATCGGTAACTACTCCTTGTACTGCTGTTACTGCTCCCGAACTCACCCGAACCTAGAAGATCCCCTTCCTCGCCGTCTTCTTCTTCATCGAGCTCCCCGCTTCCATGGGTGGATAAAGCGTTATGGGTCGTTGAGGAGAAAGAGGAAGAAGGATCGGAAGTAGTGACGGCGAGGAGAGAAGGTGCGTCGATGGGTGTGGAATGGGAGAGAAGGATGTTGCGAAACTCGTCCTCTAGCCGAGCCATGGCGATTTGGATGGTGGAGTTGACCTTGCAGCTGGACTGTTTCTGGAGGTTACTCTGGTCATCGTCGTCGGCGGAGATCGAAACAGACGACATGGACCGTTGGATTTCATCGACGGCCTGTAAGTAACGATCGACCCCTTCTCGATCCCCCTCGAAAATCATCCTCTCTCTAGCGTCCTCAGACGCCGTGGAGTCCCACCGGAGGATAATCTTCTCCGCCGATTCAAAAGCACCAGTTTGACTTCTCTCTGGTGGTTCCATAACTGGTATTATCTCTCTTTCAGACAAACCCAAGACAGATTCTTGTATGAGTTGCAGAAATCACAAATCAGAAATTGGAAATGGCGGGGTTTGGAAGAGGAATTTTTGGAGAGTGATAGTAAAAGAGAGAGCTTCTTGAGTTGGGGGTTTGAGAGGGAAGAGAGGTGGTCTTAGTCTTGCAAGGCAGCTGTTGAATTTTGTCTGAATGTGAAATTCTTTAGAGTACGTAGGAGTCTCTGTTGCTGTTCCGGGAATGGAAGGAAGAAAATCGATGATAATTTACATTAAAAAAAAAAAAGGAAATGGAGGGTTTTGACTTTTTTGGATTGATCGGACGGCGGGGTTATCTTCAGTTCGAACGTCTAGAATAGGCCGGCGATTTCTCATCTCCGTTTCATTTTCTCCTTTTTTAAAAATATAATAGAATACTCACATATGATAATTGTTAATTTTTATATAAATACATTCGATCACTTTATAAATATATTATTAATTAATAATAATAAATTTATTAATTTAATAAAATTAAAAAATATTAATTTATTAATATATTAATAAAATTATAAAAATTAAATATTAAGAAATTTACTTTGTTTTTAGACAAAAAAATATTTTATAATAATTATATTTTTTTAGTAATAATAATTATAAGGAATTAAAAATTTAATTTAACATTTAAATTATTCATTAAAAACTCAATCTAACATTTAAATTA